CAATGATCTTGTGGTTCAAATACTCCCTCGCCGTCTGTTATTCTCATATAAATATTCCCCGTTAATTTGTTAACATTATCAGTTTTTCTGTTACATTTTTAGTTGAAAATGAATATATATTTATAATATATAGTGATTTTTCTTTTAAGTTGAAGTGTTATAATTCTGCGTTTTGTTTGGTGAATTTACTTTGATCCACTTTTAGAAAGATGACAACGCAACTGCAATATTTGCAGATGTCCATAGGCGGCGGTTATCACTTAACTACAGGTGAACCGTCAGCATTCCTGATGCGACGTTTTAACATATACAAAAAAAATATTTCAGGTCTTCTTACACACAGGTCCAATATAAAAGAAATCATTTCTTCTTTCTCAATCGTTGTCAAGTGCAGTTGTTTTATTCTACTGTACTACTTTGTCTGCGTGCATTTATTAAACATGACATATTTTTTCGACACAATTAGTACACAACAAGTAATATAATTCGATTAATTGATAATTGTGTTATGGCAAACGTGAAACTTTGTTTTTACTAGCAAAACAACTATATCGTTGTAACAGTACAATATAACTAGGTTTATCATTTTTATTCATGGACTTCGAGACTAATTAAGGCTGTTAGATGGTTTGCTCGCGATTCTTTATTTAAAATTTTATGCAAAAACGAATTGAAAGGATTGGACGGAAAAATCTGATTGACCTGATATTGAGAGCATTGAAATAGCGTATTCATTTTATTGACCGACGAGTAGATTTGATTTTACGAAAACCTAACCGAATTGCTCTACTATAAATGAATCAGCAGTTGAGAATTTATATTTATATTTTATCAAGGAATTGCTAAAGCTCTGTTTTTTGTTTTATAGTTAGTTGGCTCATTGAAACAAGTAGTTCTGTAGTTCGTATATTAGCTCCGGCTACATTTATAATGATGTTAGATAATAGTTCCTGTGAGTTAATTGAGCCGTTGCAGACTTACAGGTAAAACATACGTCACAAATATCAGTCTGAACGGATAATGCAATCAAATGGTACCCGTGTCACCTATCATTTTAGTCACGTGAATTATTACTCACTCTAAAATCAAGTTTCCTTATACATGTTTTCTGGATACCCACAATAGGAGACTTGTAGATCTCATATTGTGGTATTCATGACTTAAGAGGTGTATTCGAGAATAAGTTGTAAATTAAATTATCAGTAAAGAATGGTTATACTTCGATTATATTGTAAGGGTATTTTTTATTAGTGCAAGTGTTGCATCTTATGTCATAGATCAGACAGATATCTATTGAACATTCAAGCCTAAGTCCGGCGATATATTTAACCCATAAAGCTGCTTAAGCAGAGTCAGGATAAAATAATCTATGGATTTTTTCTATCAAATCAAAATTCAATTGAAATTTTATTACAAGGGTCACAAATATCTACAATTTAAGTTGTTAACTTAAAAATAAAAGCAACAGTGTTCTTCTCGTACATTCGTTATTTTTTTTTTATGTGAAAGGTTGCCAAACGAACAGATGGTTCACCTGATGTTAAGTGAATACCGCCGCCCATAGAAATCTGCTACACCCGAGGATTGCAGATGCGTTGACAACCTTATGGAAATTGGGCTCCGGCTAATTCACTCACCAGACGAAACGCGAAAGTATTTGTCATACTTCCATTTTAAGCTAGTCTGCTGTGAGGTCGTGGTACTTACCCGGACGAGCCTGCCCATTCGTGCAACAGCCGAGGCTGCTGCGTGGCTCTACCACCGTAGAAGCTTATTATTATTATCTTATTAAGCATATTAAGTTATTAAAAGCTTAGTAAAAATGTAGAAATAAAAGAATTTGTCGTGTTTCTTACTTTAAGTTATAAATTCCATCTATAAATATTAATTTACAAAAGTTAAAAGCCATATATCAGACAATGTGGAATCTGACTAACTATAGATTGTATACAAAAAAAACTTCTCAGATGTAAATTGTTCAGTTCGATAATACAGTTATTAACCGAAAATAAAAAGAAGGACATCTACCACATATTTTTGACTATGCGCGACATTTCAACAAGGCAGTATTACGCCGTCGCTACAAGATGAGTTGCATGTTATAACAGAAATTACCCAACGCTACTACTACTATTAGTTATCGATAGTCGGCCCTACTGGTTGTCCCAATGCAGACAGGAAAAATAGCATATTTAAAGACAGTTTTTTTTTTATAATTGAAGAATAACACATTGTGTGTATAGTATTGCTTTGTACACAATAATAAACAGTAATCATCATCATCATCATCATTTCAGCCTGTTTGAGTCCACTGCTGAACATAGGCCTCCCCCACAGACTGCCATGAAGTACGATCCTGAGCCACCTGCATCCATCGACTTCCCGCACATTTGCAGGTTCTACGAGCTATATGGCCGGCCCATCGCCACTTCAGCTTGCTAATCCTCTGAGCTATATCGGTAACAGTACTATACATTTTAAAATAAGTATTTCCAATAAGCTTCAAAAATTATGGCCAAAGCCAAAGCCCATTATTAAAAAAAATTTAAATGAATTTAGTTTAAATGAAACTAGTTAGTTGTCTTAACAACTGTCCCGTGACCATGAACACTGGAAAGGGTTCGAAACGTCGGGAGGTCAAATCAAAATAAAAAACGCGATAAAATCCGTAAACTAGTTTCATTTAATATGTTGTTAGGAAATAGAAACGATTATTGATTTTTTTAAAAAGAACTTATTGGCCAGTATACAGTATTAATACACAATATACAGTAGTAATACTTAACCAAAAGATAATTCCACCATTGCTTTATTACCACCATTTCGAACTACATATCACCACCACTTACGAACCAATACATTTTCTTTACGAGGGTAGGCACCCAATGAAAAAATAAAAAGCCGATTGTTTGAAAACTCAAAAACGATGTATGGAGTTAAGACACGTAAGTTTTCGAATCCCACTTCTGATGTTAGGAAATAGAAACGATGATTGATTTTTTAAAAAAGAACTTATTGGCCAGTAGGCCAAACTTAACAGAAGTTTCACTACAATTCTAAGTAACCCACACAATCGTTATTAACTCGGGTAGAGCTTCCGCACTCTACAACGGCTGATGAGAAAGTCCCATGACACGGCGAGCGCTGCTCCGTTTATAGATCGTCGCAGTGTGCTACTACCCTCCTATCTTCTAACAATGTATAATATTCGCGTAAAATCAAGAAAACAATATACAAAAATTTTGTTGTTGAAATGAAAATGCAGTTTCTTTACTTTAGTTAAAAATTGTGAAGATTCCTTTAAAAAATCCAAAATAACTCTACCAAAGTCTTTCTTTAAGTCATTTTGCTCGAGTTTCTTGCAAATTTTGCAAATTTTCTAAATGCAAATATATTCTTTTTTCACTTTTATTCTATTTCAATATCTAAACAGCTATTTGCTACATTTTGCGATCTCGAAATAAATTGTTTTCAAAAAGGAAAAAAGACACATTATATCAAATTACAAATCCTTTTAAAAGAGCTGAATATACTGTGAGGGTATTTTTTTTAATCATAACACTTATAATTTTTAAAGATATGACAATCGAAACAAATTCAAACGTAAATAACTCACTACACTTACTTACTGCTTGCCTAGTGTGGAAACTAATAGAAATCATATTTATACTGAATGGTTCAATCCGTCGTCAGCAACATACTTTGCATTTGTGTCATTTTTATTTTTCATAACAACTGTGTTTTAATATTTTGCTATAATATAAATATTATCCTTTCTTCTAATCATTGCAATTACCGTGTGTAAAGATTCTTCTTTACAATAGTAATTGCAATTACGTTTTTTCATATTATTATAGGTTACTAGGGTGATAATTACATAAATTCTGGTATCCGGTTAAAGTCACTCGCAAAAGCTATTCAATTTCACCTCCCACGTAGCAACGAAAGCCACACCAACGTAGTCGGCGGATTATCCGCCTTTGAATCATGGAATTAAAGCGTAATGATTTATAGCTAAAAATTATTTACAAGTGCCATTTCCCTTTGTGCTAAAATGAAATTTGTCGTCCGGTTATTATTGAAAATAGAGGTAAGGCAATAACAACGTATTTATACGACTATTGGGCAATTAATAAAAGAATTAATAAAAGCAAAAAAAAAACTTTGTTGTAATACAAAAAATTTAACTTGATGCTGAAATCTAAATTAACGGATAATTAATCGATATGAAGATAATAATATTAAGATTTATCTTAGCGACATCTTATCCCTATGTATCATACAACGACAATTTATAGATTGCTTATTCTTAGTTAAATTTACACACTTCAAAAAAATATGTACATATATCGGATTCTGGCATTCCGGTTGCGTGGTTTGCCATCAGCAGTATGGTTGTTCTATATATAGAGTTTCAACATTGTTTTAAAAAGGTTTATTATTATTAAAGGTATATTGAATATACCTTATTAACTCTGGATAGAGGAGCCAGATACGAACATAGTGGCTAGGCTTTGTTTCGCAGCGTTATTATTATCATTGAAATGTTATTTAATGTAAGGATGAAACAGAAAAAATATAATTCAGAAAAATAGTTCCCAAGAATATTTAAAAAGATAAGAGGTTGATAGAGCTTACTATTCGATTAGTTTAGATTCTATACGCCCTAAATGATGACACAATGAATTTAATAAAATTCAACATCCATTACGCTGCTACAAACGTTCACAAATAAATCAATGCTATTGAAATTGACAAAGATGGATAATGCTATAAATAACAAACTATAAATGCTATAAATAATATCTAAGTTAACGCTACTTTTTATCAAGATGACCGAACGTAAAAATAAATGTCACTAATGTGTGTGACACGAGCGTGTGAAAGAATGCAAAAACGATTTAATCAATAATTAGTCAATACTTGGAGGTGCAAACTTAAGTCCTATTTTGTTGCGGGTCTTGGGGGCTATATCCCCATTACTCGACCATGATTTATCAATCTACATTGGCCGATTGTTTGTGACTTCTGAAGGTAGTCTCCCTGGCTAAGGTGTTATTTAGGGCAAGTGCGTATTTACTACTACTGCTACTCTCCTCACCGTTATCGGCTACGGCGACGGCCTCGGCGACAGTGGTCTCGGTGTTTGGTTCCTCTAGCGTGGCTCTCATAACCAATTCGAGGCATAATTGTAGCCGATTGCCACAGGTGGTCGGGCCTACAGCTCGCCCCGTCTCGTGTAACTCAGTACATCGACGAGACGGCTCAGATGCCAACATAGTCGCATATGTAAGTATTTAAAACATTACTATTAAGGAATTTGATATCAATGGGTTTAGGGTTACTCAGCCCGAATCTTTATCGATGGTAATTCTCCACTCTTTATAATACAAATGTAAGCCAATGATTTTGCGAGTAAAGAAAATTTATTTAATTCTTGTCTCATTTAATTCAACCTTTGCCAATCAGAATAGGGAAAAGGATAATTTCACTCAATGAAAACGTTATACCAATTTTAATGGACCGCAGTTATGAATATGTGTTACAGCTGGTAGTTGTTGTTTAAGGTTTTTTTTTTGCCTTAACAAATTGTTAATAGAAAACTTAACAAAAAATAAAGCGCACTGCTGGTTCCTAGTATATATAACCTATATACAGTCTTCTTCTATAAATAGTAATCTAAACTTCGGAAACGAACCAATTATAAGCGACTAAATGCGTAATACAGTTCTATTAAGTAATTATTAGTAAGTTGTTGAAAGCTAAGGAGAGTCGCGATCAAAGTAATTACGCGTTGAGAGCACTTATGGAATACTAAAAGCTTTGTTAGATTTAACCTTTAATTTGATTAAGTAAGATATCATTCTTATATGCGGCTCTGTTAGACAATAAAACAAGTAATTATGTTAAAAGTCCCCAACTACCCAACAATTTGTACGGGCTAGCGGTCAGCCGCCAAGTTTTTTCTAGAGCTAATTATGTTATCGCAGCAACTCCGCAGTTTGCAGACTGCCCACCTCAGATATATGTTGGGCCATGAACGCTGATGAAGGTATCGCACTAGCGGTATAAATGCACAGGCGTATCTATTAGTGTCGTTATCAATATTTATTATATGTATATATATATATATATATATATATATAATACGTTGTAATATATATATAATATATATATTATTAGTATAAATAATTATGCTGTAGGCTTATTTATGATCCGGGGTCGCGGAAGATTGCTTCCATGCCCGTAAGGGATCCCGATTGCAACTCCCGTTTCTCTCCCGCCCAATGGCAGGGGATCCTTAAATGATTTTTCCCAAGGAAAAAAAAGGCTTATGTATGAGCAGCCCTGCAGTCTGGGGCTTATAGAATAGGGCTAAGGTATCCCTTGCCTCTCTTAAAAGGCGACTAAAAGGGGACACGGATTGGCAGCAGCACGTAGTGGTCTATCCTTCTTCGAGACGTGCTCACACGCAGTACCGAGGGACACCAGTGTATCCCGGAGTCCCACCAAACGTACAGAAGTTGGCCACCGAGGCGGTTTTAGTAGGTGAAAACCTCATATAACCATGTCATGTAAGGTGACAGGGTATCTTTTGAAGATTCCCCCCCCCCCCCCCCCCCCCCCCCCCCCCCCCCCCCCCCCCCCCCCCGATACAAAAAAAAGGCCTGCGTATGATGAATGAAGAAATACGAAAGTATCTGTAGTAGTGACTTTATTTACAATTAATTATCATGAAGACCGTGAGACTTTTGGCGAATAAAGTTTAAAATGACAGAAGTGAAGGTTACCTTAAAATGTCCAATATGTATAGCGTATTTTTTTAGTTACTATTTTCGTTTTTTTTAATAATACGGCAAATATAATGGTTAAGAAAAGGTAAAAGACTGTTTTGCGTATTTTTTAGTTATGTTTTCGTTTTTTTTTTTAATACGGCAAATATAATTCTTAAGAAAAGGTAAAAGACTAGTATATTTTGTAACTTAAAGACGGTTGTATTTATTAAAACATTTTAGTAGCCATACGTTAGCAGGAGTAACATTTTATTCCCAACGTTATATAACAGAAACGAACTGTATAACACAGACACGGTAATATTCATCGCGTGAATGTACACTTTAACAAATTGGACAGTCAGCTTTTTATTTTCATTATGGTCGGTTGTTATCAAATTCACTTTTTGTGTTGAAATGTAAAATAATTATAATATAATAACATAATTATGATAGAGTCGCCAGTTAAATATAAAATCATCCTAGCCTTCCTATCGAATCGCTCTTATCAATATCGAGAAGAGGGCACATCTCTACGAGCCCCCCAACGGTGGGTGTTCCTCAAGGCTCCTGCCTCTCCCTTTTGCTTTTAACGCTCTACACGAGTGATACACTACAAAAGCAATCGCGCGTAAAACGCAACTTTCTATAGATTGAAAGCGCACATAAAGATGATATTCCCTCTATTATCACTACAGTGATACTAAAATAAGTAGAGAAGGTTTGTAGAGAAGCAAAACCAGATATCAAATCAAAAACCTTATAATCAACAAACTACATTACTTACCGTGTTTACACGAATACTTCATTAATGTTATTATTACATAAAGTTAAATAAAATTTGTTTAATTATTGTTTTAAGTCCTAACATAAAAATAAATATTTATTCTCAATCATAATAGCAACTTGAGCCGTAGGACTTTGTACAGAGTACGGAAAAAAGACCCAAGCAGACAATATTTTTTTTTTATTTATTTAATCCAGTAATAAAGTACAATAACATAAATTATTCTCTGCCAAACTGTGATGCAGTTTGTCGGCAGCAGTTCTCATGAATAGTTACATTTGGATGGTGAATAACGCCACCTTTCTTAATAGTTAATTGCCTCCCTTAGACCAGTGCTCACGGGAACAAGAAGCTACAGAAAATCTCTTTGAATGGCCAACCAGTCCCTTGGAACAATCAAGTCAAATTGATGACACTAAAGATGCCTCAATTTCGTTTAATTAATAAATGTGGTAACTTTAAAATCTTTAGTTGAACGTGGAATCTATTAATTTAATCTAGAAGGCAGAGAACAAACGGGAATTATTTAACTTTCTAATTAAATTCAAAAATCTCTTTCAAATTATATTCAAAATATTTCAAGTATGTAAAGTTTTCGCACTTAAAACACGAAAGTTATTAAAACTCGAAAACGTTTTTATCAGCGTTAAGTTTAATAAAATTATATTTTCATATACCAATTAAAGGGAATTTTGTAATCTGTTATTTATTTATTTTTTTTTAAAAAACTTTGCCCTCACTTTTAGAAAACATTATCCTATGTTTTCAGGACGTTTTACAAACATAAATTGCACGAGGATAAATAAACACTCAGATGCGAAACTATCTGTGGGTCACACAAATAGTTGTCCCGTGTGGGAATCGAACCCACAACCCTCGACGCCGAAGCCAATACCTTGGCAACTGCGCCACGGAGTCATCAAATCAATTGATTAACTAATTGAATTAATTTTCATAACTTAATATTACATTTCAATAGCAATATGGATTCATTGTAGTAATGTAAAAGTTAAGTTTAATTCCTGTAAAATAATCACATTAGATAACGGCAATACTGCAACAAACGCAACAAAAACAAAGTAAATTTCGCGTGGAAAGGATGTCGATCCTTTTTAGCTTAGTGGCTAGAGCGCCTGGTCGCGTAATTCGGAAAGTTCGAATCCTAGCAGCCAGTTTAAACATTTGTAAATAAAGCTATCGATAGAAGTTTTAGAATTTTGCGGTAGTTTAATATAAATATTTTTATCAACATGTGCATTACATTTTTTCTATAGAGTCCAGAGGAGATGGTGAACGGCCAAGAGAATCATATCATGGTTAGTAATTGTCAAATGGCCTTAAATAGACATCTTCAAAACCAGTGAGGTTGCAGATCACTTTTTTATTCTTTAATAAACTATTAACCTGAACTTTTAGCCAATATTCATAGTTGCGGTGTTTTCCGAGTCTTTTATTTGATATTACATTTTACAAATTTAATATTTTAGGTACCATCATCTGCTTTAAGCCCTTCTAGAGTTGTCGTAGCATCCATAATTTTCTAAGACTATCATGAAGAAAAAGAAACTACTTCTGCAAGAAAATACTTTTCATTACCCCAAAACAAAATGAGAATTTTGAAATTAAAAAAATATTTATGTAACAATATTGATATTATTTCAAAGTGGGATTGACTTCCCGATTAGCGTAGTAAATAGTGAACCGGTTTTTAGCGCCAGATGGTATGAGTTTTGATTTTCTAGTGTCTGGGCGCTACTAACTATAATATGTATTAATTCACAAAAGAAGAGTTTGTTTATCAGTTACATAGTATCCTTAGTAAAAGCGTTGCTTAGTTTGGGGCTAGATAACGTTTTGTAAATAATGGTCAAAATTATCCACGAAAGATTCTGAAAAACGTGAGCATTTTCACACCATTTGGGGTTTATTCAAAGCCCCCAGATTGTGTAATACAAGCCTCAAAACCCTCTAGTGTAATTGGTAAACATCAATTAAGAAAGTTGTACCGAATGTTCCGTTTCCCGCATTCCTCTGTTCCGTCTGAGGAAATTTCATTTGATTTATTACTTTGATTTGATTATGCTATTTAAAGTCATTCCATTTTAAACTTTTACGCGCGTTGTGTAAAAAGGAAGGTTAATCAAACTTGACGGATGGTTTATACGTTCATATCTTTTTGTTTATCAGATAAACAGTTTAAAATGATAACCAATAACTATATATACCTAACTACAGACCTTAAGCTTACTTTAGCAAACAATTATTTTTTTTATTCGATTAGAAAATAATTCAAGACATTATCCCACTCGAGAAAACACTTGCCTTAAGGAGCAACACCAATGTCTTGTAATTTTATTTCTTAAACACAATGAAAAAAAATGTGAAAATTCGCAAATATATTTTAGAGTCACATTGATATTGTTTCTGTTATTGCAATTATGGGCGGACTCACCTAGCGAAATATCACAATCTCAAAAGACAAGCGTAAAATGGAAAAGGTTCACCGGGTGACTTTTATTGTACAGTACATGGTTATAAAAGAAGTTAATGTACGAAATAAGATATTTTTTAAACTTTTAAAATGGATCTATTACTAGTCAGACTAGATCTAGACTAATACTGGTCCATGTTGTAAGTATATTTCGTGTGAGGCGATGTCTACTCCTAGACACCGCGTCTGTATAACAGAAAATAAATCTATGTATTTCATAAATGTATA